CCCCCCGCTCCCGATACATTGATTAAGCAGTAAAAACAATGACCCAATTGTAAGTACTCTGTACACAGCCATTTGCGTACAAACACACGTAACCAACGCCGCCGCCTCGCCGCGGACTTTGCAAGCAAAAAACCGTAGCAAAAAATATGCTTAATCACAAATTAGACTAAATTATACCTTTATACAAAAAAAATGGTACAAAACAAGACGTTTCTATGTCGCAATCGACTTTGCAAATGTTCTGTTTGAAAGTTTTTAACATGTATTGAATATTAACTTGGCATGTTAAATTGTTTTAAAGTATCGAAGTTTTATATTTGTAATGTTTACACGGAAAGTTGTACTAGATATAAACAAAACTGTTGATGTGACATTATGTAAAGTGATTAGTAAAACAATAAGTCTTATACATTCTGAAGCTTGTCTGAGAACTGAAGATTATTAGTTTTACATTCATTATTGCATACTTAAGTATTCATACCATAAACATAATATTATATTTATTCTGTTCTAATGTAGGTTTACTTCTAATTCGAAGTACATATTATAGAACTTCGTACAACATCTAAGTAAACATAAATTTGCACGCCCTTGTTAGAAAACACAACTATTTTCATCAAATACTGTAAACTCTAAATATGTGTATACGCCTTATTCTAAATGAAGCAACTATTTCAGAATACAAGCTCAATATATACAATTCTAGTCACTATATACAATAATAATCCTTTTACACCCTTTCTATTTAGTTTTTCCGGCGCCAGATCAGTCTAACAATTTATCGAATAACTAGCTATCGTCCGCTTCTCTGTCCGCGCGTAATTAAAAAAAAAAACAAAATTAGGAGCCTATGTCTTCTTCCAGGCTATGTTCTACATCTATGCCTAATTTTAACAAGATCCAAGCAGCTGGAGATCACTACTAACAAACATCCATCTATCCATCAGTCACATTTATAATATTAATAAGATAATGTTGTCTGAACACTTTAATGTTAGAGCTTTTACAAGATACAATTATAGACAACTTTAGGTACATCTTATAAGTAATTGAAGTAAATGTCAAAGTTTGCACTAATGTCTGTCTCGTGTGAGATGACCACATACTTGTATTATACAAAAACTGTATTCACTAGAGTTGGCAATTACCAAAACATTATTCATGAGCTACTGGAAGATACGATGCGAACAAATTAGCGCCACAAATTGTACATATATGAACCACCACGATACTCGTAACAAAAACATGGAGTCACTTCGTGTTACGTGTTTTGATGTTGTTAAATAGTTATTGCTGTGAAATTGTTAAAACTTATTTAGTTCATTTTAAATGGTATGTACATCTGTACATCTTTGTACTTTAAATAACAATAAACAAAACTTCTATATTATTCCATTTGATATAATATGTTTACAAGCGAAACTTGCCAATTAATATTTCCAAATTGCAAAAACGAAATGTTTGAGACAGAGAGGACCTACTGAGAGCTAATTACCTTAAACGTATAAATTAAATTATAAGAAACTCTTTAATACAATCACTGGCGAGGTTGAGTTCTTAAGAGCCCAAAAAGTACGCTTCCTACACCCTGCACCCCTAACTCGACGTCCGCACCCTGCACCCCGCACTCACCGATGCCATCTAATACATATCTAAATATACTCTGAATTTTTGAAGTCTCTCTTAAAACTTTATCTCTTTTATCCCTATTATCTAATTGTTTTGACTTCAAGCACCTTCAAGTCTAAACTGTCTAAAGCTGTAAAATGTATAAATGTTGAAGTGAGCAATACTATTATAGTTAAAGCGCACATTATATTTTAAAAGTTATTGTAAACACATAACACTACGTATAAAGATAAATAATATATACAATATATATAAAGTTGTGTTAATTGCAGATATAAAATTAACTAGAAAACTAACTGCATACATACACTAAATTATTAATCCTTTTTTAAAGTGTATCAGTGAATCAGTGTAACTTATTGAAAAAGGTGTCTTTTGGCCTTAATTTTGTGATTAATTATATTGTATTTAGGCTGTACTTTCTTTTAATCGCCAACCTTATTTAAAAATACCAAAGTGTCTCAACCCTTTATATCTAACATAGAGATTGTGTTGGATTTATTTTTATTTATTTATTTAATAATGATCCGATATTCTTTGTAATGAGATCACGCAACGACTGCCTACCCCCCGCCTACCCCCCGCCTACCCCCCGCCTACCTGCCTACCTATTACATCGATAATTTTCAAATGTATAATATTTGTTGGACTTGGATTGTTCGTATTTTTGATTCTGGAGACTTGTGTTGTTCCTAGTTATCAGAATGTACATATATAAACAATATGATATTCTTGAGGAATGTGAGATGAAGTTAAATAATACAAGCGAAGTGTTTACGAATATAATTTTATTAACAATTTCACTTTGACGAGTCGAGTCGAGTGTAAGTCGATATTATAAATATTTACAATTTGCTTTATTTTATACATTTTTACAATTCTCTTGCGAGTACTAAGCCTAGCTGCTAAATCTAGACCATTTCTAGTTCATTTGTCATTGATTCTCAGAGGAAAATACAGAATAAACTTTGAAATGGATAAAATCACTGCGCACTGTTTGTGGCCATGTTGCGGCAAACTATGACCAAATGTTAGCCGCATGTGGCCACATACGGCCAAGTGCGGCCAAGTGCGGCCAAGTGCGGCATACTATATGTATCACAATCACATTTCAAATAAACATATAACGTACAAAACTCTCTTATATTTTATATCAAGTCTAAGAAGACAATTTATAATGAACGCTGCAATGTGGTGTACTTCATTATATTTATATAATTTTCTAGTAAAATCAACTTTTGTAGATATAAGAATGATTTTAATATATTATATCTATATGTAGCGGGAAAATAATATGTTTTTCTAAATACTGGTGCTTTGACAGTAAAAAGAGGTTACATTGAGTCGGCCGTTGTATGTATGTACCTGACAGTCAGACGGACCTGTCTGACAATTTTATGTGTGATCTTCAATAGAATGACACTTATGAAAATTAAACTATGTGAATGGTTTTGATACTTTTGTCTTAAGTTTATTATTATTTATTTTTTTATTTATAATTTGTCTTACTTAATTTACGTTGGTGTTGTTTTAAATCAAATTATATTATAAAATACGCTAAAATTGCGCAAACGTTTAAATTGAAAATGACATTTACTTTAGCTTACATATTATTTTTATTTTATAAATATTATAATAAAAATGTAAATGAATGTAATTTTGAGTTGACTAATGCTGCCTTTACAACTTTATTATATTTATCTATATTCATTATTTCTACTTATAACATATTCCTTGACTACACATTAAGCTAAGCTTTAATGGGTAATGTGTACACAATTGTTTACATTTCGCAAACCGTTAATTTATTATAAGCATTAATAATTTATAAACACCACATAAAACCCAATTTTTTTGTAAAAAAAAATAATTTCCATACAAGTTATGAAGTACTTAAAAATTGTTAAAGTTATTTCACTTTTTTGTTCTTAAAAAAATATTATTTTTAATGCCATCTAATTTAAAATAACCAATAAAATTGACAAAACTTTTAAGCAATAAATTTTTTAAACAAGAAAGTATTAATATAAATCCACCAGTGGAAAAGTTTGATTCGATTTGTTATTGTTTTAAATAGGCCTACAAATATACGGTAAGTTGTAAATTGTCGCGGATGTAACAGACCACATTGCAGCGCCCTCGATACACTTATATGTTTTATTGTAATAAATAACTAAGTGAAAACAGTCAACATCGCCCGGAACAAATAACTTAGGACAAGCGGCCGTCGTGCTCCGCTCTGCTCTGCTCAGATACGAGCCGACATGCCGACATGCCGACATGCCGCCGCACTGCCGGCCGCCGCCGCCGCGCAATATCCTATCTACACAGAACATACCTACGCAATGTACACAACTGAAAGCTGATATGATAAATAAATTCTTCATTTACTACTAAAATAGGATATATATAGCGGTTCCCGACCACACGAAAAATATTCTTAAACCTAAGTAGGCGTATTTAAATAGACAAATAAAAATTATACAGAAGGAATAGCCTAGCCTAGCCTAGCCTAGCCTAGCCTAGCGTCGGCCATACCCGCCGCGGTCGCGAGTCGAGTGTGCGAAGGGATATTTGGCTAGCCGGCACTCGACAGCGGCGAGCGTCGTCGGTCACTACATAGTGCACAGTACATACCTGGTGCGGAGATACGGCGATATCAACTTCACTAGCACTCATAAGATACCCTAATGCGAACTGATTCACCACGTCCGCACAACACTCGCGTCGCGACGGCCTAGTCCGTATTGCAACGTAACCACTGTGTCCCGCGCCATACGCCGCTACTCCTCGTCCACGTTGATTTCGGAGTCGGCTGAATCCTCGTCGTAGGTGGAGGAGGAGGCGAATCCGCGGCCGAGTAGCGCGGAGCGGTTCTTGGCGGCGGCGGCGCGGTCCCGCTGCCGTCGGTTCTTGAACCAGTTGCCGACCTGCGTGGGCGTTAGGCCCGTCGCCGCTGCCAGCTCGCGCTTCTTGGTGGGGTTCGGGTAGGGGTCCTGCAAGTACCATTCGCGCAGCAGCGACCGTGTGCGTTCCTTGAAGCAATGTGTCTTCTGCTCGCCGTCCCAGATGGTGCGCGGCAGCGGGAACTTCTTGCGCACGCGATACTTATCGACGGGCCCAAGCGGCCGACCGCGCAGTCGCTCCGCCTCCTGGTAGTGCGCCTCCAGCCATAGCGCCTGCAGCTTGGCATGGCTCGACCGCTGGAACCGGTGTCGCTCCAGGATCGAATACAGCTCACGATGCCTGCCCGCGTGAAATGCGACCACGGCGCGCGCGCGCAGTACTGCTTCGCAACGCTCCAGCTCGGCCACATTGGGGTGCGCCACCGGCAGCGACCACAGGAACCGTGCCAGCCGCTCCACGTCCCCGCTCTCCTCGAGCGTTTCGCACACGGTGGCCACCTGTGCCGCGCTGAACGACAGCGTAGGCAACGGCAGCAGCGGCGTCGGAGCCGCCAGGTCCAGCGCGGGCTCGCAGGCGGGCGCCTCGGCCGCGCCGGGCCCGCGCTGCGCCTCCAGGATGCGCGCGTGCAGCGCCGCCGTCGTGCACTCGTCCCAGCCGCGCATCGGAGCGAGTGTGCCGGCGCGCCGCGCTCGCCGCCCGTGCCATTGGCCCACGCGCGCCCCGCCAATCGCCGCACGCGCCCCGCCCGGCGTCCCGCCCCTCGCTGCTCGCCCCGCCCTGTATCACCCCGCGCCCCGCCGCGGCCGCGTTTAACGCGCGGCGCCCCGCTCCGCCATGATCCGTCACGCACACCCAGTCTCGCCTCGCCTGCAAACCTGCAATTAATAGCCGCCATATATTCATCCGGGTGGATTACATGCTTTTATTTGCGCGTGTGCAACCCGGCACGCCTAATTAACGCACACAGCGCGCTGCCCGCTGGTCCACGCTCAACATCGCCCACCTTCGCTTGCCGACGGCTTCGTTCGCTGGCTGCTGAAGCTGCGACAAACGAAGCTCAATCGACTGTCATACATTACGATACAAGCTGCTCTAAGCGACGTTTAAATAAAACATCTATGCAACGAATAGTTTCAGCTCGCCCAGAAATATCGATTGAGGCCATGATACAATAACGCAATATATAAAGTACGTATTATTAAAGCTAACATTTTTTTTCATATTTTCAAAGTATTAGTAGGTAATAACTTCATCGCAAACATTTTTATCAAACATTATAAATAAAGAAATAAATGTCAAAGAAAAGTCTAGGATCAGAATTGTTCGGTCGCGCTACACCGGGGCGAGATTTCAGCATGAAAGCCTTTCCAGAGTATTAAGTTATTGAACGGCAAACCACACCCAGGCGGCTGTAATGCTAGCCGGCCCCCGCCCCCGCCACGACTCCGCTCCCACCCCGCCGTGTGGAGGCAGATTACGTGTATTCATAGTAATATTCTGCTGTCACACAAAACGGCCATTTTCGTGACGTGTCATTAACGTCGCGGACGTGCTGCACGGCGCAGCGGCACCCACAGCGCACCATCACACCGTCTGTGTGTCTGTCTGTCTGTCTGTCTGTCCCTCAATGACATTACATTACATACAAACTAATTATATGTATATCAGTTGATTTTATAAATACAATGATGTATAATATTATATTATATGGAAACTTTCAAGGTGTTGAGAACAAGAGTAACTCATCTGTATAAATATTTTTGCGCCTTTCTTTATTTTTATAAATAGTCGTAAGAGCTAAGTGAAATGATATTGAATGACACCTGACTATTTGAGTAGCGAACTAGGAATTGTACATATACATAAATATATCCATCTCCTAATATACTCCTTCTAAACCTACATTAGTCTATATTAAAATATAATAATAATTGTGTATAAATATTGTAATTAAGTATTTTATATTGAAGTATAGATGCAGGTCTCTCTTGTATTGTTAAGCTGTTTGAGTATGTAATTAACAAAACTAAGTTTAAAGTCCTCACGCAAGTTACATGTTTAAGCTTAGAGACAATCGTCAAACTCTGCACTAAAATAGAATAAAAAATAAGTTTTTATTGTGATATCTAAGTTTGAATATTTAAAAAAATCTTCTAAAATGTAAGAAATTACTTATTCACATGTTCAAAAAAATCATTTTCCAATTATATTTTTATTTTGTGAAAAGCAATGTGTGCGCAAGCGCAGTGCAGCGGCCGATGTGACGGCGCGCCGCCGCCGCCGGCCGTCCAGCGTCTTAGTACTGGCGCCCTGCTTCGCTTTATTTACGTATTTAATGTACATAAGTCACGTCACTTACATGTGTATTTTACTTGTAGACAAATTTATATGTAACGATCTATCACTAGTTATTCAAAATGTTATCCCTCTCTAACACTGACAACACATGGATTTTTATGACACTTATACCTATTTTTTTTAACGTTTTATAATCAATTTCTTTAGTTGTCATGTCTGGTATACGATATGTAGCATTGAGACGGCTGTTATCAACTTAAATTAATTTAGTTTTCAATAACAACAATATTCCATTGACTCATTGAAACAATGCAGATTAGTGTTTAGGCAACTCACAGATCATTTGCATGTTGTGTGCAACGAGTACGTTTTGCTGCTAATTATTTCCTATTTGTACAAATTGTAGCTAATTACTAATTAGAAACTAACTAGTGAATAAACAAAGTTTAACTCCTGGTTGTTGAATAATGGATTAGAAACATTATGAACACGTCACAGTATGACAGACAATGACCGCATCCATTATCACTACTAAATCTTCGTCACCCCTTCTCTACAATCGTCTTAGTTCAATCTGTTAACATTATTTAAAAAAATATCTCAATAGAGAGTGTTGTGTTAGCTACACGTAATAGGTATGGGAGACATTGTCGCTGTCGCCTTGTTTCCCGGCCGTGCTCTATTTGCATTTTTCCCGGGCGGAGGTTCCGCGGGGTGCGCGGGGTGCGCGGTGTGCGGGGGCTGGGGGTTGCGGGCGGCTCGTCATCCGGCTTTCGACTTGATTACTCCATCTGCGAGCTAAATCTACTTACGGACTTTCGCCGAATTAATTCCCGCTTTGTTTCCCTGTTTTAAAACAACTTCATTCCAGTCTGTTAATATTTTCTTTTAAGGCTTTTAAAGAATATTCAAATTAAATAATAAATTATTCTTATAATATAAAAAAATATTTACAGCAATACAATGTACAAAAAAATCGCTTTGCCTACAATATTTTGAAATGGATAATCTTTATTGCAAAGTTAGTTTCTCCCGCCGCCGCCGGAGTGCGGAGGGTCTCAAGTCGGCGGCGAGCTGCTGCCGGTGGAATCTTCCCGCGGCTCACCGCTCTCTGCTTTCAAGTTCCTGCCATACAATATTAAACGGTCGACAAGCGCTGGGGCACGATAATCTATTTTTAATGACGCTACACATGTGAAAAAATACAATTATGAAGTGGATGAATATGTGAGACCATTTGTCGCCGCGTGGAAATTGAAAAAAAAAACAGTTTAAGAGTAATTATTGTTATGTTCCAATGCAAATAAAGAAAGTATTGTCGTGTGCTTGATACAAAGCAACAATTTCGTATACCTAAGTTACAGAAGCATTCGATTTGATGTCCGATGTGCACAATGTATGATCTCAATATATGTTGAACATTTATGTTACAGAATTATTATTTTACAGATGAATGTATGTATGTATGTATGTAGCGAGTGATATCCTGGCCGAACTATACATATTTCTAACATAGATTCTCATATTTCACAAAGTCATTCAGTGTACTTTGAAGAGCTTTGAATATTGCCAAGCTCAGTCCAAATGAAAAGCCAGGTGTAAGTAACTCGCTTAGGTAGTGGTGCTGGGAACCCCCCCCCTTCCTCCTCCCCCCGCTAAGTGGCGCACGTGGGCAGGCTCTGCTGCGGGTGTCATGCTCCTATCGCGCGATCACCCGCGAAGCCTTCTGTTCTCTATACCTCCCCGGGGGCGGGCGGGGGAGGGGGAGGCTGCCCCCGATCGATAGGGGGGGCTGACACGGGGAGGCAGCTCTATCTTTGTTTGGATCATATAAAATCTTCGGAGGGTGTGGTTACAGTTGGGGGGCAGGCTGCGTGTTACACTAACTTATGTTTCGGTAAAAACTTTTCGAGATTGTTTCATTGTTCTAGGGAAAAGAGAGAAGAAGATTTAATCGTATGTTTGTGTAGCGGCGACAGCCCTGCAACTACCTACACAACGCTTGTATCATCAGATTATGTTACTTGTTACCTTCCTCTGTTCTACTTCAAGTTATCTTTAATAACAACTAAGAAACATCTAATAAATTAAATTTCCTAGGTGAGATAAATACTTTGGCGCACAAGAAGCGTATATATTAGTTAACGTTCGCAAAAGACATCTCTCAAGTCCAAAGTATTCATTTGAAATAAATACATAGTTGTAAAGTTGCAATATTTAATAAAGTAGTACAATGATCCCTGGGAGCGGTTACGAGCTCTCGTCTGGACAATGGAGATGCAAGAGATGACGTCGCCGCGTGCCGCGCCGTGCCGGCCGGAGGTCGCGCTAACAGTCCGCCTTATGGCCGCCACAAATCACGCGCGCTAAGCGATGTGTCCCGCCGCCGAGTGACGTATGGCGCATTGTGCTCCTCTCCGCTACGACACTTACTATGTTGCCTCGCCTCGCCTCGTCTTGCTTTGCTTTGCCTTGCGACACGGTAGCATCGAAAATTTTACTTTCAAATTCACAAACGCTAAACGGCACATTGTATTCGCCGCGGTTGGCGGTCGCTTTCGCGGATTTTATTATTTTGCTCTTCGAGTTAGGGACGATTGAACTGTTCATTCTTCGCGCGCGTTGCGAGACTTTACGACGCAATAGGCCTTTGTTTGGATTGTCTATGGCGCGATGCGACTGCGGGATAATTCGGTGCTCGACCTCTATGACGGATTGTTGCGAAACATTCGCCTTGTCTATGCATCGTAGCCGGCAATTGCTGCCGCCGCTGAGAGCTCGCGCAGATTTACGATCTGATAAATTGATACTAACATTTTAAATCTACATGCTTTTAGCAGCAAGCTTACGCGTCATCTGCCTGTCCTACTCTACGTGGCGTTGGGACAAGTTTCCCTCTCTCAGATCATTATATAATTTTAATTTGTCTAGGATATGAGTTGTTACGAGCTACACAAGGTGCCCGTGGCGAGGGGTTTGCCATACTGGGCTGCCGGCACTGCCGCATTATTATGTGTCCAACAACAAAACAATGGGAGAAATCATAAAGGATTCATTAACATAACCCGCAATCATAGCGACGCTCGGACGGAGACGAATGCCAGCAATGATAGCGTCCAGAATTCTCCCCGATGATGACAGACTCCTGTAACCCTTGCGCCACGGTTAGTTAGCCGCGAATCGTGACCCGCGGCCTCAACCCCCGCCCCCGCCCTCGCCCTCGCCCCCGTCGGCGGAGTTAATCGCACATGAAATTACTCGACATCCACTAAAAACCATTACAAAGGGACATTACCGACATCAAAGATACGCGTAGCTGTGAGTACCGGACGGACTCGACTACATTAGTCATTTGTATTTCCAG